TTTAGAAAATACTCCGAGTTAACGTGTTCGTTCGCTTTCAATTATGTATAATAAATCCACTCGAAATACTTTTAATCACTCATAAATTAATTTATTTCTTATTGATTAAGTCGATTATTTACACATATCGGGAAGTTCATGTAACTTGCCTCAAGGCTAAATACCAATAGCAACTAGTTTACTATAAACTTTATTTATATTTAGTTAATTTTAATTATTTTTAAATATAACTAGTTTGTTTTTTGCAAGTATTTTTTCTAAAAATTTCGTAAGTATTTTAATAATCTTTACAATTATTCATCACTCATCACATATCAATTCTATCGTTTATCATTTTTTAGGTTTGTCTCGGAGCAAGTTCTGTGTACAGTCACAATTTAGGTTTATCAGAAGCCCAGCATCCTGGTTTCATCCAAGGCACCAATTTTTTGTTGCCTTGGGATGTGACAGTGAGATTGGAAACTGCTGCGGCAATTCGGCAATGGCCAATTGGCCCTATTCGAATGATAGGCGGAAAGGAGCTGGGCGACACGGAGGGAAACATCACGGAGCAAATATTATGGTAAGTAAGTAAATAGTAATAGAGAATGAATTGTTTTGTTTCAATGTTTTCTGAACGTTTTGGCTGTATGTATGTGTGTCTGCGAATGCAATCTTTTGTCGACGATTTCGGGAGCACGGATCAAACGATTTGTATGATTAATAAAGCATTCGATTTGTATTTTGCAAAGGCAGCTTCAACCGTTTTAATGGTAATTTTGTTTTTGAGAGAACGGAGCATCCGATTAGAATGATACAAAAAACATTTTATTTGTATTGACGAAATGAAGAATTGATGAAATTTTTGTGAATACATTATATAAATCAGTAAAGATTGCTTTGAAAAAAAAAATCAGAAGATTTTCAAAATATAAGAAAATAATAAAAATTCTCCAAAAAAGTCAAATTTTTTCATAAATTTCAAAATTCTCAGAAATCAAACATTTTCAATGTTTAAAAAAATGTTGAAGCTTGTTGACTAAATACTGATATATAGAGATGAATATTGTAGAGAGTGTATTTAGAGACAATAAATGTGTTTAAAATTATCAATTAATGTAAAGTAGACAGGCAAACATACACAAAGGGGCGTCCATTAATCACGTGATGCTTTTAAGGTTGAGGGGGGGGTTGAAAAAAAAATCATAAAAAATCACGTGGAGGAGGGTGGGGTCTAGTAAGATATCACGTGTATTTACTTTTCACCTAAATTAAAACATAAAATTTACGATTTTTTTGTAAATTCGAATTTTTTTTCGAAAAATGTTACGTAACCAAAAATACACGTGATTTTTGGTGGCGGGGGGTAATTTTAAATATCACGAAGCGGGAGGATTTGTCTAAAAATTCCTAAAAAAAAAATCTTTCACGTGATTAATGGACGTCCCCAAAGATAGATAGAATGATAGACAGGTTGTCAGATAGAAAGATAGATAAAATGATAAACAAGTAGATAGATAGAATGATGGATAGGTGGACATGTGGACTTTACATTATGGATGTTTTTGAATTTTCTTCCCCCCAGTGGCCCAAATGCTTCCAAATTGATGAAAAATAATTCTCTGGAAGTTTTAGCTTTTAATATTAGCATTTAGATAGTCCGCACACCAACCAAAGTTTCTTGATTTTTCTTCTTAAGTAAATATTGATTTTATGGAAAATATAAAATTCTTGTTGTAAATTTTTTATTATGTTCAAAACAAGTATGATGTTTTCCGGTAAAATATTCTTAATCAAAAGATCTTTAACCCAGTAAAATAATTTTTATGATACTTATTGCCGTGCGCGAAATAATCGCCAAAAACTGTTTCAAATTTTTATGTTTTAAATGGTTACATGCCTATAACTTCGATACTTTGCAAGATAGGGATATGATGTCTATGGATGAAATATGCGTAAAAAAAACATTTGCTACTTTTTCCATAATTTTGTAAAACAACGTTTTTCTCAAAATTATGATTCACTATCACTTGTCGCTAAGTTATAAAACAAATCAAATTTTACCCACGTTATTTCCATGGAAACTTTGGTTGGAGTGCGGACTATCTTAAAGTTAATATTAATAGCTAAAATTTTCAGAGAATTTTTTCTTATCAATTTGGAAGTATTTGAGCACCTGGGAGCAAAGAGATTCGAAAATATCCATATTAAGTACCACCCTAGTAGACATATAAGCAGATTTACCATATACAAATCAAAATATTATTAAGTAAATTGATGCCACTTACAACTACATACTTAAATTTTATATTAGGTTCTCAATCCGGCAGCAACGTCCATAAAGGCAACGAGTTCATCGTGAAGATTTTTGTCGGAATGGAATACGAATGTCCAAGGGGTCACAGATTTATGATGTCGACTTCAGAAAAAATCTTGAGGGCAACCACAGGTAACCCAGAAGACTTAAATATAACGAAATACATTTATATTAGGGAATGCAATACCGATAGAAAATTTCAATACCGGTATTTCGGTAATTTTTCATTTTAAAACCGGAATACCGGTAAATTTCCGGTATTTTTATTATCTTAAACTAACGTGAACAAAATTGAAAGTTACTAGTACAAATATAAAAAAATGTATATTCAAATACAACTATATTCAACTAAACGATAAAAACTATAAAATAAAACATTAAGTTTATTTTTTTAAATAATAATTTAACAAAATTATATCCAAATTAATTAATTCATTATCACTATCGAGTATATTGAACACTTTTCACCAAAAATAAACTTATGAGTAAGAAAGACCAAAAACTCATAAAAGATCATAAAACATTATTATAATAAACTGTATTGTCTGTATCCGATGTGTTAAATTAGCATAATCTCCAATATTTTAAAAAAATAATTTTTCTACACTAATTTAAGATCGGATACTTTGTCGAGATAAATAATAAGTTACTATAATTGTTGAGTATTGTTATTTAAAACAATGTGATGGTTCTATAGTATTTTCAAACTTCGAAACGTTATCGAAAAATAATATTTTATAATTGTAATAAGAAGCAAAAATATTTAGTAATTATCATAATTATTATGTATAAAGTTAGAAAAAAATTAAGATTACGCAGGGGTAATCTGTATGATATAAAATAATTTGGTGCAAATATCACTTAAAAAAACGTTACATTTTTACATAAGATGAAACAAACATCATTATCTATCAGTCCAATTCTATTTATTGTAACACGATATGAAGCCCTTTGGAAAGCAATAAATATTCAATTTAATGACGAGTTGAGATAAAATTTGACATTTGTTTATCCTATAGAATCACTTGAAGATATAGCTGTTTATGCGATTGTGGAATTTAAAGATAAATTTGTTCCGAGAAATTTAAACTTTAGTGTATTATGCATCAAATAGCGCTTATGTAAAAATACCGAAAATACCGGTATTTTTGCGGTAAATACCGGTAAAAATACCGCCGAAAAATCGGGCGGTTTACCGGTAAACTGGTATTGCATTCCCTAATTTATATCATATTTCTTTTACCTTTAGGTTTGGTTAAGGAGTCCGGCAGTCGCGTTGCAGGCTCCGACATGCCCCTTTTCCACGAATGCCCATGCTCATCGGCCTCGAGTACGTCATCGACCGGTGCCGGATCATCTGCAGTCGGTTCTGGTAAACTGGCTGGTGTGGCTGGTCAACAAACATCTGCGGTAGTTCAGCCCAAACAAATGTTTGTAGCTCAACTTATGCGAGTGCATGTTGTCACTCCGAAAGCACCTGTACATGTCACACTTGACCCCAAAGTCCAAACGGGTAAGTGATAATGGATAGATAAAACTAGCTGTAAGTGGAATTCTGTCTTAAGGCAATTAAGGCATCGTGCCTTAAGGCAAATTGCTGGAACTTCCCGTATTAAAAATTATTATTTTTTTTTTAAAACGATTAACATTTTTGAAAAATTTCACTTCGAAAAAATAAGATTTTTTAGAAATTTTAAATCGGACAAAAAATTACTTTTTTTTGAAAAAAAAATTTTTTTAAAAAAAAATTTTTAAACAATTTTTTTTATAAAAATTTTTTTTTGGAAAAAATGTTATCTTCATTTTGATATATTTTGGAAGATCTGAACTTTTTTTCAAAGCAATCGTACTGCTTTAACTGCATAGAGACGAAATATAGAAGCGCGTAAGCGCCGCGTCGCTGTCTAACGGAAAAACAATAGTACGGAACCCATAGGAATGTAAACAAAACTTAAACTTTTTTTAAAATCTCAATAAAATATCTGATCACTTGATATGCATATGTCTAATGTCTAATGATTATTGTTGACCGCCAAATGTTATTTTTTTTTAGTTTTTTTTACTAGATCTCCGAAACCGCTAGACCTATCTTCATGAAAATTTGATCAAATCTTCATCTTGTTAATACAAGTAAAATGTGTTTTTTGAACTATACAAATCGGACGCTCCGTTCTCTTAAAAACTGAGTTACCGTTTTTGGCACTTTTTGCCCCGTATCTCCGGAACGGCTAGAATGTTTTTTGAATTATTCAAATTGCTTCATCCGTGTTCCCGAAATCGTCGACGAAAATTTGTATCCGAACACACACACATGCACGCACACACACACACACACATACATCAATTTTCTCCAAGGTATGCCAACATATTCAGAAACCTCTGAAACGTGAAGATATATAAAAATTTTCATTTTCGATTTTTTTGCGATTACTTACCCTATGGAAAATTAATTATAAATAAATCAATTTATCATCTCCAGAACATTAACAATCGTCATTTCATTTCGAATCAAATTCCAAAAAAAAAAATTAGTTGCCAAATTTACCCAAAATTGAAAAAGTGCTCCCGCATAGTCACAGTCTAAACGCATTTGCAAATAATTTTGTGCGACATTTTCACTTATACTGTGCTCAGCTTGGCGGCATTTCACATTTTTCAATAATTTTCACAAAATTGGAAAATTGCTCCAGTACACAAACAGTCTAAACGCACTTGGGTGAACATTTGTACCAGAGTGGCGCTTAGACTGTTCTTAGCTTGGGTGATTTTTTGAATTTTTAATCCAAAATTACAAAAAAATTTTTTTGAAAAAAAAATTAGAAACAAAAATTTTTTTTTTTCATAATCAATTATTTTGTTGAAAAAAGCAGAAAGTTCTTTGAATCATTTAAATCGGACGCTTAGTTCTTTCAAAACAGCCATTTTTTTTAAATTTAGCTCTGTATCTCCGAAACCTCTGGGCCTACCTTTGCCAAAAACTAATCAGCACATCTCCCTATCAATAGGAATCGAATGTTTTTTAAACCATTCAAATCGGTTGATCCGTTCTCTTAAAAACTCGCTTTCTATTTTTTGCACTATTTGCTCCATATCTCCGTAACGGCTGGACCTGCCTTTGCCAAAAACTAATCAGCACATCTCCCTATCAATAGGAATCGAATGTTTTTTAAACCATTCAAATCGGTTGATCCGTGCGCCCGAAAACGTGGACGAAAAAACGCGGACATACAAAACACACACACACACACACACACACACACACACATCCATTTTTTCTGAAGTATGCCAAAATGTTCAGAAACCTTCAAAACGTCGAGAAATGTAAAAATTTTCAATTCCGATTTTTGGACGATTACTATAACTTACCCTACGGGAAGTTAATAAGTATAAATAGATCGCGGATTATCTACATACATATAAAAATAAGTCGGGTTTTCCGCAAAATTTATAGCTAAGAAAATTAGTGGTGCATGGCATCGTGCCCTAACGCAAATTGCTGGAACTTCATGCACCGTAATTAAAAATTCCAGTAATAAAAATAATCAATAATTGTTTTAAATCATTGCAAATAGATTATCTTCTATATATATAAAAATAAGTTGCGTTTTCCTTCCTGACGAAATAACTCCAGAACGCACGAACCGATTTCGACAATTTTGCATTCGTTGGAAAGGTCTCGGGCTCCGCAAGATTTATAGCTAAGAAAATTAGTTGTGCATGGCATCGTGCCTTAATTCAAATTGCTGGAACTTCACGCACCGCAATTAAAAATTCGAGTAATGACATTAGTGAGAATTATCAGAATTATGCTTGGTTAAGTCAACGAGCAATTCTTGCCGCAAAGAATAATGATGTACACGCACTGAATTTCATCATTCAATCAAAATTGCTGGCGATTTGGCGACATATCAATGATTCCGACTGGTCTTCCTTTTGATTTCAAACGATTGCAATTTCCAGTTCGCCTTGCGTTCGCAATAACAAGTCGCAAGGCCAATCGCTTAGTGTTTGCGGGATAAATTTCAAATAGATTATTCAGAAAATCATTGTTTTTCACATGGGCAGTTATACATTGCCTGTTCACGAGTTGGAAAACCATCTGCTGTGTTTGTGTTAACGTCAGACCAAAAAACAATAATGTGGTTTACCAAAGAGGACTTCAATGAAACGGATAATGTGCGGATTCACTTTCATTTACTTAGAGAAGTTCAACTAAAAAACACTTGATTTTTGTAATCGAAATAAATTCATTACTGTTGTGCAATAAAATCAAATTTTTTCTTCTCAAATATAAAACAAACAATAAATTTCTTTATCTTTCTCGCGAAACCATCTGGTGGCGAAACGGAGTTTGTCGGGTTTGCTAGTCTTATATATAAAAATGGAGCTCTCGATCAAATGATTCGGTAAAACTCGAAAACGGCTAAACCGATTTGTCCAGTCTTAGTCTTGAAAATTTTGTGCCAATCCAGAGAAGTTCGGAAAGGTGAGATAATATTTCAAAATCGCGTAGAAACTTTACATTTTCAATTTGATCATTTTTGTAGAAGCGTAATTTAAATAATACAATGAACGGTGGCTAATACATCAAATGTCAAACGTTTTGCACAGATGATGTTCAATTACGTTTAATAGGATGTTTTATGTGAATATTATTTAATTATGATTAAATTGTAGTATGTAGTTTTGTTCGTAGTTATATTTATACACAAAAACGTTTTTGACATAAACATATCGACGGCGTAAAATATATTTTAAAAATATAAAGCGTTGTAATACAGTTATGAAATTATAGTATGTTATTTCTTAATATGTGTACTAAATTATAAAAAAATAAAATCAAATATGTTTCTAACAGAAGAAACTAAAAAATTGCAATACACACTTGCATACTCCATTTTTATTAGTTGCGAATCGACGGTTAGATATGATATGAGAAGTACTTTTGAAAAATGTTTCAAAAATATACAATATTATACTAGAGCTATAAAATTTTAGTATGTTATTACCTAATATATGTACTCAATTATAAAAATATAAAATCACATATGTTTCTAACAAAAAAAGCTATAAATGTGCAATTTTGTAAACAAATGCACTCTTACATATCTAGTTTTCAATAGTTGCAAGTCCACGGTTTGATGAGTATTTTGAAAAATATTTAGAAATATAAAACGTTATACTAGAGTTATAAAATTTTAGTATGTTATTTCTTAATACGTGTACTAAATTATAAAAATATAAAATCACACATATTTCTTACAAAACAGCTATAAATTTGCAATTCAGTAAAATCATGTAATTCATGCAAGTGTTACTACAAACTAAACAATATCAACTTTTTTGAAATGTTAATATGAAAATGCACTTTTTGGCATATTTTTCTCAAACACGGTGCTCTGAAAGATCTCATTTGTATAATTTTATACTCATTGGTATTTATAAAACATTTTCTAGGTTATATTATTTTTTATTTATGTTATTCAAATTCAGAATCTAAATTCGGTATCGATCAAAGGGACATTTTGTTGAACACTTTTTACCCACTTATAATTTCCCATAATTTATCGAAGAATTGATAGTAATATATGAAGGTCGAGGTTAAGAAGTTAAGCATTGTTTAAAAGCAATATTTGAAAGTAGAGGAAAAAAGATGTATAACCATCAGCTATAACCTTGATTCTTATTACTTTGATATCGGGAGATAAACAGTAATCTTCGAAAATCCATAATAAAAGTATTTTTTCCGTTGTTAGTTTTTTGGCATTGGCTAAAAATGTAATTATATTTTGTAACACAATTTTGTAAAATACCTTAAAATAAGACATTGAAACTATTTGCCATATCGGCGTTTAATATAGTCGTTCCAAGTTACATTGTAGTCATTTCTACAATGATGAAATAGCTGGCAGTTTTACTGAACGTAGTCAGATAACTGTTTGTTTGAAATGTGTTATTTGTTGTGATATAATTGGTTTGATTTTCATAATATAATTTATATTTGCTCAAAGTCAAATTTGTCCTTTGTGCCTCGCCCTGCTCTACATAAATACTTTTGAAGTAAAACTTCTTTAGGCGCGACATGAGTGTAAAAACTTCTTTAGGCGCGACATGGGTTAGCAGTATAATTCGTGAGTTAATAAAAATGTCAGGATCGGAAGAATATTTTATCCCGTCCCCCATAAATAATTGTAGTGCAAATGATCGCAAATAAATAATGAAACTAAGGAAAAATCTGCGCTGCGTAAGAAATGATAGCTTTGGCTATGTATGTTTTGTGTGTGATCGACTTTGGCTTCAAAGTGACTTAGAAATATCAAATGATGCTCAAAAACAAATTCTTAATAATGTTTTTTGAATATTGATTCAAATAATCAGGTTGGATGTCAAACTTGTCGGAAGGCATTAAATTTGGGTAAAATTCCCACTTTGTGTAAGTTTAACGGGTTTGTATTTCCACCTATACCAAATTATCTACCTAAACTAGATACTGTATCTGAAAGGTTAATTTCACCTAGGTTGTGTTTCATGCAAATTAGACGATTGCGACATGCAAATGGACAATTTGGAATGTTTGGCCAAATTATAAATGTGCCTGTTGACATTAATAATATGGTTAATTTATTACCTCGTAATATTGATGATGATCATTGCATTAACGTTCACATAAAAAAGCAAATGTTTCATAGATCAAGCTATGTGCAGGGCTTGATAAATAAAACAAATATAAAAGTATGGCTTCAATTTGTTAGGCAAGACGGATATTACAGCTGTTCAAGGAATGAGATTATATCGTCAGCGAAAAAGTAAAAAAATACAATGTATGTGAATGAATGTATGTTAATTTTAATTACATGAAGTTCTTCAAACACAATTGTTACAGGATGAGTTAATTTGCAAAAACAATATTTGTTTAGGCGTTGTTTAACATAATCCACTGTGTGAATGAATATTATAGAATTTATTAATCAGCAATTACTTTAAAACGATCATGTCATATTTCAAAGTACGACTTTGATTACATTATTGTTTGTAAATATTATACATATTTTTAATGCAATCATAAATATATAATTTATAATTTATCATTATATAAATGTGTATAATGATTGACGACACTAATAAATGTGTGCATCACGAGTGTTACCATATTACTAATAAACATTATTCAAAATTGTTATATGATGTATTTATTTTTACTTAACTTAAATTTGCTACTTTGTACAGTAGCAAATAAGTTTTACTTCAATCGCGTGTGATCCTTACGCGCACTCTTTTTTATTAAATTTACTTTAATTCATCGAATGTTACTTGAAACTTTTCAAAAAGCAGGCCAAAGAAGAAATACTTGATTCATTTTGTATCTCTTCTTGCAGAAATTTGAAAATTTTGTATAAGCTCAGTAGTATTATTTGCAATTATACACAAAATCCAGAATCCAGAAAGAATCTGAAAAACTTGAAACATAATCAATAAGTCGAAAGACAAAAAAAGACTTGGATTGAATTGTACCATGTTTTCTATAGAAAGTGTATAAGACTTCCAGTTTGATTGTATTGACAAAATATAGACAAACTAATGGGGTTTATTGTTTTGATAACACCTCATTGTATATAGCATTCAAACAACACATCCTTATACACTTAAAGTATTAGATATTTTTGATTCTCTAGAAATTGTTTAGAATATACCTTACTTAGCAAAACAACGTTTGCCGGGTAAGCTAGTCTATATATATATATATATATATATATATATATATATATATGTATGTATATATATATATATGTATGTATATATATATATATATATATATATATATATGTCCTTTACCCCCAGCTTCCAACTGTTCTTCAATCCCCGGCCCCATTTTCATAACCGGCGTTCCCGACGGCGGCGCGCGTCTGTCGCAGAGCGCCTACTGGGTGCTCCGTCTGCCCTACGTTTACCATGCCGACGGGGGCCGCAGTTCGCCTTCACACGAAGCAGCCTTCTATTCGACTGGTGTGATGACCAGGACGCCACCAGGAGGACGCCTGTTGGCTGGTATGTTCGGGATTGCAGAGATGGAGAAGGGTACTGCTGCAGAGTAATGGATCGAAGTAAATTAATGGACAGTTAACAATTGTATGAATGGAATTGAAAGAGTTATAAAGGGTTTTGTTATAAGTGTTGTATAAGTTATTTTTATTAATATTGGGAATAAGTTTGTTTATAATAAATAAGATAGGTTTGTTTTTGATATGTGGTATTAAGAAGAATAAGAAGAGTTTTATGTTAATGAATTGGTTTATATTATTTTGTAATTTAATTTTTTTTATTAACTATTCTTGATAAGTATATTCAAATAATATTATTTAATTAAGGTGATAATTAAATAAGATTAATATTAATATATATATATGTATATTAGGGTGGTTTTTAAAATGGTCATTTTTGAATTTCCTTGCTCCCAGGGGCTCAAATGGTTCCAAATTGATAAAAAACAATTCTGTGAAAGTTTTAGCTCTTAATATTAACGTTTAGATAGAGCGCAATTCAATCAAAGTTTGTATGGAAAGAACATGGGAAATTTTTTGAAAATTTAAAAAAAATGTTTCAGGTATAACTTAGCGATAAATGAATGAGTTTTATTCATTCATTTGTTTGCTAAATTACATCTGAAAAACATTTTTGAAATTTTTGAAAAATTTTCCATGCTATTAGGTTGTCAAATATCTCCCTTCCGCTTTTTTGCTATTGGTTTATAATACAAAAAGGCGGAAGGGAGATATTTGACAACCTAATATTACCATACAAAACTTTGATTGAATTGCGCTAACGTTTAGATTCTAAACGTTGATATTAAGAGCTAAAACTTTCAGAGAATTGCTTTTTATTTATTTGGAACCATTTGAGCCCCTGGGAGCAAGGAAATTCGAAAATGACCATTTTAAGGACCACCCTAATATATAATATATATATATATATATATATATATATATATTAATTTGGAAATATGAACAAACACTCCTTTTTGCACTATTTTATTAAATAATAATTTTCACTAACGTTTCGAGACTAGGTTTGTCTCATCATCAGTATGTTATAATTTAAAATTTAAAATATGGAGTTTGATTTGAGTTTTTCAAACATTTAAAATTTGATTTTGATTTGAGTTTTTCGAATAATATGTAGCGGATAACACATAATGCTAATTTAGCTTTCCACATTTTAAATTTTAAATTATAGCACACTGATGATGAGACAAACCTAGTCTCGAAACGTTTGTGAAAATTATTATTTAATAAAATAGTGCAAAAAAGAGGGTGTTTTGTTCATATTTCCAAATTAATATCTATATTCACTCAGAATACATTTGTTATATATATATATATATATATTAGGTTGTCAAATATCTCCCTTCCGCTTTTTTGCTATTGGTTTATAATACAAAAAGGCGGAAGGGAGATATTTGACAACCTAATATAAATATATATATATATATATATATATATATATATATATATTGTAAAGTTTCGAACAAGAATCCAAAAAGTAAATAAAAAACAAAAAAAAGTTTTCTAATAAACTATTTCTTTATTGATTTATTTACTGTCGACTTTTCGGAACTAGGTACGTTCTATCTTCAGGACATCTGTCAAGAAACATGATCTTGATAAGATTTAAGCAAACAATATGTTTAAGAAAAGAAAATGGATTTTTTAATTAATAAAATAGTTGATAAAATAATGTACAGAAATATGATAATATGATCAAAATGAAAATGATAAAAATAAATGAGTGGATTATATAACAGGATATTAAAAATGATAAAAAAAATTTTGAAAGTTTTGGAAAGTTTTAAGAAAAAGTTAATGACAAAATTTAATTAATTACCTGTATGATTTAATATAGGTTAGCACTTTTTCACTAAAAAAGATTTTATCAAAAAATGAATTTATCAGTTACTTTTCAGCCGAATAGTTAAATTTTGTAAATCAAAATTACTATAAGTTCTGTCTTTTTTAAGTTTGTTATTTGAAACAAACAATATTATTCTCTCGATGTTATAAGTTCGGCTGTTTGTAATGAACTGATATATATATATATATATATATATATATATATAAACTAGTTTCACATGGAATTTTGCCATTTATTTGTTAAGGCAAGTTGCATGAACTTCACAATATGTTTACATAATCAACTCAATCAATAATGATGAAGCTAAATTTTAATTTTACACATTTTTCATATTTAATTTTGTTTGAAATGTTATTAAACCTTATATACTGGTTTGTAGACTATTTTTATTAGGTTTTTAACAATATATAATACTACTGCTATATTTTTAGTTATGTATAATAAAATAAACAAGGATATAAAAAACCGCAACCGACGAAACTCGCGTAATGGACACGCCATTATGATTTCAAAGTTTAATAAATTTTTGTATAAAATTTTCTTAGAAACGTTATGAATTGTTATACACAGATTTACAGATTAGTTTATTATCTTTCTAATATTGCATTATAATATATGATATTATTAATGAATCTTGCAAATACAATGCTAAATATAAAAAATGTAACTAATTAAATCCACCAATGGCTAATAACTAGATACTAAATTTTAAATTTTGCACATTTTTCATATTTAATTTTGTTTAAAAAGGTTTTAAACATTATATACAGATCTGTAGACAATTTTATCAGGTTTTTAACAATACATAATAATATTTGTTATATTTTTAATTATTAACTTCCCGTAGGGTAAGTTATTGTAATGGGCCGAAAATCGGAATTGAAAATTTTTACATTTCTCGACGTTTTGAAGGTTTCTGAACGTTTTGGCATACCTCAGAAAAAATGGATGTGTGTGTGTGTATGTGTGTGTGTGTGTATGTGTGTATGTATGCATGGATACAAATTTACAGTCACGTTTTCGGGCGCACGGACCAACCGATTTGAATGGTTCGATTCCTATTCATAGGGAAAAGAGCTGATTAGTTTTTGGTAGAGGCAGGTCCAGCAGGTACGGAGATAACGAGCAAAGAGTGCAGAAAATAGAAATCGAATTTTTGAGAGAACGGAGTATCCGATTTGAATGATCTAAAAAACATTCAATTAGTAATGATTGGGAGAAGTGTTTATTAGTTTTTGGCAAAGGCAGGCCCAGCCATTTCGAAGATACGGAGCTAAATATGTAAATTAATGGCAGTTTTTGAGAGAACTAAGCGTCCGATTTAAATGATTCAAAGAACTTTCTGCTTGTCTTAACAAAATAATTGATTTTGGAAAAAAATTTTTTGTTTCAATTTTTTTTTTAATTTTTTGTATATAGAAAATAATTCAGATTACAAATAATTTCAACTTTGCAATTTAGTTTAAATAATTCTTATAAATATTAGACAATGTTACAATATTTATAATAATCTATTTGAAAACATTCAGTATTCCTCGAACATTTTGTTACGGTACGGGAAGTTCCAGCAATTTGCCTTAAGGCACGATGCCATAATTGTCTCATGACAGAATTCCACTTACAGCTAGTTTATAATAAAATAAACAAGGATATTAAAAACCGCAACTAATGAAACTAACGTCATTCACACTCCACTTGGATTTTAAGGTTTAAAAGATTTTTGTATAATATTTTGTTCGAAACGTAATGAATTGTTATACACGGGATCATATATAATTTTATTAGGTTTTATTTTATGTATAATAATATATATTAATTATGTTAATTAACTAAACTACAATAATAATAAAAAAGTGTTCTTAGTGTTTGTAGTATTCTTCTCAACAATATTTGAAATTACCGCCAAATTGTCTCCCCTCTTTTCTGTTAACAATCTGTCAGCTTCATTCTTCGTCTCTGGCAACACCAAAACTTCAACTTTGCAATTTGTTATCCTAACCGACATTTTTTTGTAAATAGTTGTAAAAACATTCCTCCATTAATTAATTATGATTTTTTGTTAGTTTTTTTAATTTATAAACAATAATCATGTCGTCCAGTGATAGATTAATTTTAAGTATAGGTACACAAATAGAATCGGATAAGATTACAGATCGCCGAAAAGGTTATGAAGCTCTCTCTCATATTTTGACAAAAAACTTAGAACTGAATAATCCAGACGATGTGTGGTCTAAGTTATTTAATTCTATCAATTTTTGTCTGCAACAGGTGCGTGGAATACTTTAATGCCATTTAATAAAAGTGTTTAAGTGTTATTTTGTTTTAGGTTTGTGCCAAATTGAATGAAGATGTTTCTGTTGGTCATGCATCTCAGATCCAAATTAGAGATAAATCTAGTCATTATTTACAAGAGGTTCTTATGCTGGCAAATAGAGGTAAATGGCAATCATACTTTGTTAATAATTTCAGGTATTAATTTATTATGCTTTAGGCCCTTTTACATCACAGGAAAATATATCGTGGAACAGTTTTTAGAAGCTTTATCAACTAGGCCTGTGTTGAAACAAGGAGGAGATATTTATCTTGTTGCTCTTGTTAAAACAATATCAATAAAAAATTTGTATGATGATTGTACACCTGCACAATGGATTGGTAAGCTCGAATATTATCCATATATATTGATATATTTATTATACTAATGTATTTATTATTTATTACAGAGTTGTGTGAATTCTGTATGAAACATCTCAACAATACAAATTCAAACCTCGATCTTTCAACATTGGTAAAAATATTAAAATTCGTTGTCTGCAACGGTTGCAAAGGCTCCAAACTTGCCATTAAGCTTCTTAAATTTTTGCCAAACGTTATAAAGCTATTTGATGTGAGTTGTATTAAAACATCAAAGCATTTACAAGAAGAAATATTTAGTTTAACAATTGCCATATGCGATGAAGTAAGTTTTGTAAATATACACATATTTTTTGAAGTATCTAGTGGCAGGTTAGTCAATACAGTTTTATTTTAGATTTCAACAAATTTTCCAAGAACGTTTTGTGCATTTGCGAATGATATCACACCAAAGTTGTTATTGTTGTATGATTCTTCGGATGGAAATAATGAGAAAAAGGTAATTTTCATATTTATATTTATATTTAGATTTCAAACTTGCCAGATCTTAGGTTTTTTAGATAATAGGTTTTTAGATTATAGGTTTGAGATTTTTTAGGTTTGAGGAGAATTTTCAGATTTTAGAATATTTAGTATATAGATTTTCTAGATTTTAGTTTTTTTAGGTCTTTTAGTATTTCTAGAATACAGATTTTGGGTTTTAGGTTTTAGAATTCAGATTTCAGGTTATACGTTTTAGGTTTTAAGATACCCAGATTTTAGAATTTCTAGATTCTTTCAGATTTTTTACATTATAGGATATTTGGATTTTAGGATTTTTAGATTTTAAGATTTCTAGATTTTAGGAATTTTTAGGTTTCAGGTTTTTTTAGGTTTTACGTTTTTTAGTTTTTTTATCATTATCATTCAATAAATTTGATGAATTTACAATAGTCGGCCAAAAAGGGACATTGTATACTACAAGGGCATGTTGGAAAAAACTACTCAGTAGTTGTTTTTTTCATTCGATATAAAATTCACAATATTTTATTGACAATTATATAATTTTAACTATTTACTTATTGAATAATTTCTATAGATTTAAAAGATTTTTAGATTCAAGGGTTTTTAGATTTTAGGATTTCTAGATTTTAGCATTTCTAGATTTTAGCATTTCTAGATTTTAGCATTTCTAGATTTTAGCATTTCTAGATTTTAGGATTTCTAGATTTTAGGATTTCTAGATTTTAGGATTTCTAGATATTAGGAATTTTTAGACATTAGGAATTTCTAGATTTTAGGATTTCTAGATTATGGATATTTTAAATTTTTGGATTTCTAGTATTTTGGGTATTCTAGATTTTAGGTTTTTAGGTTTTAGAATTTCTAGATATTAGGAATTTTTAGATTTTAGCATTTCTAGATTTTAGGATTCCTAGATTTTAAGAATTTTAAATTTTAGCATTTCTAGATTTTAGGATTTTTAGATCCTAGGATTTCTACATTTTAGGATTTCTAGATAATAGATATTTTAAATTTTGGATTTCTAGTATATTGGGTATTCTGGATTTTATGTTTTTAGATTTTAGGACTTCTAGATATTAGAAACTTTTAGATTTTAGCATTTCTAGATTTTAGGATTTCTAGATTTTAGGATTTTCTAGATCTTAGGAATTTTAGATTTTAGCATTTTTCTAGATTTTAGGATTTTTAGATTCTAGGATTTCTACATTTTAGGATATCTAGATTATGGATATTTTAAATTTTTAGATTTCGAGTATTTTGAGTATTTAGTAGATTTAGGTTTTTAGATTTTAGGATTTCTAGATTTTAGCATTCCTAGATTTTAGGATTTCTAGATTTTAGGATTTCTAGATTTTAGGATTTCTAGATATAGATATTTAAATTTTTAGATTTCTAGTATTTTGAGTATTCTAGATTTTAGGTTTTTAGATTTTAGATTTCTAGATTTTGGATTTTAGCATTTCTAGATTTTAGGATTCGATTTTAGGATTTCTAGATTTTAGGATTTCTAGATTTTAGGATTTTTAGATTCTAGGATTTCTAGATTTTAGGATTTCTAGATTAGATATTTTAAATTTTTGTATTTATAGTATTTTGGTTATTCTAGATTTGAGGTTTTTAGATTTTAGATTTCAGGATTTCTAGATATTAGGAATTTTTAGATTTTAGGATTTCTAGATTTTAGGATTTCTAGATATTAGGAATTTTAGATTTTAGTTTTTCTAATCTTAGGAATTTTAGATTTTAGGATTCCTAGATTTTAGCATTTCTAGATTTTAGGATTTTTAGATTCTAGGATTTCTACATTTTAGGATATCTAGATTTAAGATTTTTTAGCTTTTAAGAATATCTAGATCATAGGATTTCTAGATTTTAGATTTTTTAGCTTTTAGGGATATCTATAATAGATTATAGGTTTTCTATATTTTAGAATTTTTAAGTTATAGTATTTCTAGATTTTAGAAATTTCTAGATATATCTATAATCTAGAAATTCCTAAAATCTAGAGATACTAAAATCCAGAAATCCTAAAATCTAAAAAAAAAACTAAAATCTAAAAAATCTATAATCCAGAAATTCTTAAAATCTAGAATCCTACAATCTAACAACCTAAAATATAAATTTTCTAAACTAAAAGTCTAAATCTAAAGCTTAAAAAGTCTGGTCAGATTATAAGAATTTTAGATTCGAGAATTTTTAGATTTTAAGTTTTTATATTAGTAGGATTTTTAGATTTCACGATTTCTTGATTTTAGAATTTCTATTTAATATATTTGTGTATTTATTAATTTGCATATTTAGTATGCAGTATTTTTATTGACATATTTATATAATTTTTAAATTTCAGGAACTTTTTTTTAATTTGTTACACACATTTGTTAAGATACTTGTTCAAATAACGAATATCAAACTCATTACGATTCTATATACAAAGTTATTGTCACTGAAATCAAAACATTGCAATCGAATTTTATGAGGAGAAAGATAAAGAATGAAAATGTATCAGAGAACCTTGTTAAATTGGCAGTGGATGTTTGCAAACAGGTAGGATAGTAAATACATACATACATACATACACACACATATATAT